ATATAGTGCGGAAATTATTTTTCGCTAATCAGTGTAAGAGAATCTTATGTATATGAATATGTGACGTGTCAGTGGTAAAGGTTACTGCGAGATATAACTTGGAGGAGTTATCCATGAGGTACATGTAAACTCGAGAGCATCGACGCATCGACTTTAGCGTTAAATGTTTATAATCATGGTATATATATATTTTATTTTTTTCATCTCTATTCCAAAAAACAATTTGGTAATGATGTGGAGCTGATTGTTGCAAAGTAATCCTGAGACTCCTAAAACTAGTTAAAGCAATATTTCAGCATGCAAGGATTGAAATGCATACTCTGGGCATTTATACGTTAACCATGATGCAAGGTGATACATATTGGAGTAAATATTTTATAAATAACTCGAATTATTTCTGTCATGAAGGTTTCGAATATGAAAGTCCATCTTCTACTTATTATTAAAATTATTAAGAAGCTTTGCATCGGAAATACAGGCATAATTGGTGTTGAAAAAGTATTTAATAAGATATGAAAATTATCAAATATCTAACATGGAATAGAAATTACATTGACCACACATTATTTTTGGTTTGTTTAACATGTTGTTACCTATAACATGTTGTTACCTTTAACCTGCTGTTACCTATAACATGTTGTTACCTATAATATTATGGAAGTCGGACAAAACAAGGTTTGAGCTATGTAAATAAATGTGTTAAAAATGAGACAGAATGAGTAGTGAATTTATATTAGCCATTTGAACCTGCTACTAAATTGTGATTCACCTATCAAGGTATTCAGTTCCATGTACCTGAACTGGCCTCAACACATGTGAAGCATGTGGTCTGCAATAAAATTGTTCGTGGAAATATTGATTTTCAAATGACATGGTAAAAGTCTTATCTCTGGTGAACAGGCTGAATACACACATCTGTTACCGTATTAACCCTGTCGAACAAGCATTTCTAAACACATAAACACGTCTATAAATAGGTATGTAAATGATAATGATGCTGTGCATAGGTACTATTTAAATGAATCACAATTACATGTTTTAGCAAACACAAATGAATGATAAATCAATTGCTTGGTCTATATTTTCTGCAATGCTATAATATAACTATGAAATATCTACTTTATCAGCCACGTGTACATGAGCGATGTTATCTTTTGATCAAAGGTGCCTATACAATACTTTTAGTTTAGTAACATATTTTATTGTCTTATTCTGCTTATAGGTTGTACAGAGATACAGAGCCTGCTTCAGATTTGATTTAGTTTTCGACGACCACTCAGACAATTGAGTATATAGCAGTATGCAGTATGTTTACGAGTCAGAAAACGAGTAAGAAATAGTGTCTCGGTAAATACAGGTAAAAACAGTGACAAAATCTCTCTTCTTTTGTTCAATGTTTCTTCATAAAAATAAGAATAAATAAACGAAATGTGTACCAGGTATATAAGATTTCATATTTTTTATAATTACATAATAAGAAGACATGATGAATTCTGGGTATTATACAAAATGTCATCGTGAAAAAATCTACTTTTATTTTGTGTTTATTACGAAACACCTTTACAGCATCTTGCCCAATACCAGCCAGGCGTGCTGGGACATTGAATCTACGGGAGGCTTTCTTTTATTGCACTGTACTGAACCAAGAACATTACTTAAACATCAAGTAGTGCTTTATTGATTGGAAACGATCATGCTATTACTTCACACACAAGTATTGCAGCTCTACCATGGCACTTTGTTCAAAGTTAAAGTGGAATTCCTCTCTTAAATTCACATCTTTATGAATTCCCTGGCTAGTTCTATCATTATATACACCACTCAGGTACAATATATAGTGCCCTAGTTCACTAATGATCCGCCATAGAAATATTAGCGGTTCGTGGTAACTTCCCAAGGCACCACGAGACTCGGTAATCTAATGATGTAGTCATGTTAATTATTTATACCATACCAAAGAATTCAATGAGTTTTTCGACCTCTTCCACTCATCCGCCCAACCGATCTATATTTAGAATGTCAACATCAGACATTAAAGGAAATACTATTGAACATCTGTGCAGTATTACTACTCAAGAAGATGTTCAATGATATATTGTTGGTATCCAGAATCAAAATCACTGGTAACGGGTATGTCATGCCGATGAAAACGGTGTTTATGGCAAGGCACACCTTTACTTTTATTGCATAATTGCCAACACTTTATGGGTGTGTCTTTGACTGCCTAGTGATACTGGTTTGAAACGTTACTAGCTTTCTGAATTAGCAACGGTATTATTTAAATATTTATTATGTATATTATTTATCTGACAGTTTATAGAACACTGTTATACGAGGGAGATATATTATATACTTCACAGGGAATACAGTAGTAGTGAAATATTTGGAATGAAAGCATCGAGATATGTCGTTAACATTATTAAAATTTAATAAATTATAGTGAAACGTGTCACAATTAACCAGACTTGGTATTTACTGTTTAATTCAAATGTTTGATCAGGACACTGCGATATCACAAAAATGTTTGATCAGGACACTACGATATCACAAAAATGTTTCCCGTCATCACGAGTTTTACTACTGGTATAGAAATTTTAAAATACAAAATGCTGTTAGATATAAATATATAAGAATATGTTAAGATGTTTTGTATATCAATGGTTATTGTGATATTTTTTAAATTCCAAATCAAGTTTGTTTCATATTCAATAAATAAAATATCTTTTATTCAAATTTTCAAAACAATATCTTTGGGTTGGTATATATGGATTGTAGAAAGCCCATGTAGAACAACTAGCCTGCTGATTGTACTACACAAAGGTTTCTCCCAATATTTTAACAAAATTTTACCTGAATTATACTAATGAAGATATACGAAAAAGAGTGTATGTGTACAAATCATGTCAGTAGATAAACATATTAACGTGTGTAATGCTAACGCTATAGTGGTAAAACACTTTAAAAGACTACCATGGCACGTGTACTATTTGTAAATTGATGTTCTTGTAAAAATATAATTGTAAGTAAGGCTTAGAAAAACATACGGAACAGAGACTGAAAAATACAAACACAGAACAACCAATGACACTGTTTTCAATATCAAATATAATAGCCGAAATCAACCAATGATCATTGGTATCAATATTACGTCAAAGAACAGGAGAACATCCAATGATATCTAGTGTCAATATCAGAGTCGAAACTATCATCAACCCCCCACCCTGGACGCACACACATACACACCTGTACTGTTCGTTGTTTTGATGTTTAGATATTTATGAAATCTATCTAACCTACTAAATTCAAGATGTAACTAAAAGATATCAAATTATCGCAATGCAATACAACCAGATTGGGTTAAGACTTAATTAAAGTTAAATTTAATTAAACCAAAAAAAAGGAACCATTTGTAATGTTATCTGATGAATGCATCAAGTTTAGATATTGGAAATAGGTAAATAGTTGTAGTAACCTAACACTAGATAATTTAAGTACGTTGTTTTTATCTGCAATGAATAATTCAATAGTATGTGGTGTAACGGTTCTGCCCACTTTTATCTGTATCCATGAATCACGGTGTCTGTATCATACCCGTCAGATAACGATCACATGTACCCACACAAGTGTTTTCCTTGAATAAAATAACGATAAAATACTGCAACCGTGTCACATATTTACCAAGAAATAGATTTGGGTTATCAATATGTCATGTGTCTTACATCTAAAGATTAAAGTCTGCGTATATAACTGTTCGGCAATGTCAAAGTGTTGCAAATGATATTTTTTAGGTTTGAAGATGAAAGACATGTCAAACCAGCTAGACTATTTTAAGACCATGGGACCTAAAAGACGGAAAGATTCTGTTTCTAAAAATGGCATTTTACATTTTGAATCTATACATTATGATAAAGAAGAGCAAATATGAAAGAGAGAATACAGAACGAATCTGATCGGGTGGGTTATTGTTCTTCTGAAAGATTTCCTGAGCCACACCTTCATCCAATAAGGATTTTCTTCCTCAAATTTAATAAGCGATCTAAATTATTTATATATGCACTGTTCAGCTTTTAACTAACTGAGCACAACAACACACAAATATTGAGAGTGTCATTACCCAAATTATTTTAATATCAGACTTTCAAGTTTAAATGACGTGACCATTGAATTGCAAATATTGAATTAGGAATATTTCCGCCAAATAATTTGATATCTTTGATACTACTACTGTTAGGATAGATCAATATACGAAAACAAGGAAAAAGTAAAACATCAAGAAAATAATTGTTGTTAAATATACAGGTGTTTCTGCTAAACAAATCGTTTTAAACTTGTATCTGTGATTTATTCACGCAATCTTTCGTTTATCTATAAATCAACGTTTTAGGAACAAACATTACGATGTAAAACTATCGTTTAAAAATGTATTTGTAAATGAAATAAACTAATGTTTGCATAATTTATTACATTCAAGAAGGAAATAAAGTGTCTTCACGTAACTTCCTTGGTTTCTGTCCTCGACAATAATTATTAAAAAATCTGTTGACAACTGTCACTGTAACTCTGTAATATGATATACCTGCTGTTAGATTTTATGCGCTTTAGAACGATTATGAAATAATGTTTCTTGTCGATTATCAAATTAACACTATTTTATACAAATCTGCCCCGTTTTATGAAGACAGCTAAACAATGTTCTAAATTCTGACGATTTTGGTCGCATAAGGGATACTAGTCTCTTTATTAAACATAATAATAATTTGAGGAAGGTGGACTTGCTGGGTCCATAACGATGTATCAGATAATATGCATACATAAAGATTCCGAATTTTAACTGAATATATGTAGATATATTCCGAATATGTGTACTGCCTTTAACTTACCTTGTAAAGATTAAATGGAAAATGAAATATTATTATTTATTATAGTATGTATGTAAAGGAGTTTTATGTGCAAACTTTTCATATTCGAATCTCGACACGGACGGAGTCGACAATACGTACCCTCGGCCAACTATCAACCTAAGGGCAGGTATGTTGCCGTATGACGCCGCCCACATGGTGGGGGTCATGCCATCCTCGTCCGTCGTGTTCAAGTCCTTTCTTGTGGCCCGGCGGAGGGGGTCCAGGTATCCATCCCTCGCTGCCCGATGGAACGTTCCGTCAGTCATTGTTACAGGTAAAACAGTCAAGAAAATGTTACACAGGTAAAGACAGGCCACCCGCCAAGATAGTCTCCGAATATAAAACTACCAAGCACTATTTGGGACAAGGCATCAAGTGCGTTTCCGACCACCAAACTATCAATTGTCTTACAAGTACAAGTTAGTCCATAATAAATAACACCCAAAGTGTTGTCACAGTTCCGTTCAATCTCAATACCTTACATTCTTCCGCACGTCCGACGAAATTCTCAATGGTCTTGGAAGCCGTACACGGACTTTGATATAGAGCCCGGAGAAGTATGTGGTCATGAATATGCATATGGTACACACAGGCAACTGATAACACGGCCAGACCTAGTCCTAATCTCTACAGTGTTACTATATGTAGACCATGTGGCTAAACATTACCTGTGTTCTACACCTGTAGTACCGTCCATTCCCTCGTTTTTTTATCACAATGTCAAATATTGGCCGACAGATTATGTGAACATATTGAAAATTGTGCCAGTCAGAAATTCGCTGGTCTATTGATCCGTTGGATCGATGAGGGGAAATGCTCTGTGAAACATGAAACATCTTCACTGATAGACAAGGATAATTAAACATCATGTGAAACAATCAATGCAGAACAGTGAAACAAATGATATTTCACTAAGTAGAGAGACTTACAAAAAGAATTATTATTAATTTTGAATGTGTATTGAGTTAGATTAGATATTTAAATATCATTGTGTTACTGTTTAAAGTACCCTAGCCTTAGTGTTCACCAAATAAAAATAATACGATATTTGATTATTTTATAAGTATCATTGTTATATATTATATTTAAAAAGAATTAAATAAATGACAGTTAATGTGTATAATGTAAAGATAATCATTTATATACATTAACAATGTTCTATTCCCAGAGCCCAAAAGAAAGTACAATGGTCAGAAACACAGACAATATATCCATTGTCCCTGGAGCATACTCTCCGAAATCAGCCCAATCTTGACATATGATCTACAACTGTGGATATATTCACCCCGGAGGTGAATGGACCTGGAGTACAGGCACGGACACATGGTCAATATCATACCGAACGGTATTCCAATGATTGCAGTGCATGATCACGGTCAAAATAAACCGGTGTTTGACGCTTAGGCTAAGATCACATTAAGATAGACACATTTCTGTTCGTCATTTGTTTGTAATGAAAGTGTCTCTTACCATCGCTTTAACGACAGCATTGTAGTTTAAGAGTGTAATAACTTTCATTACAATGTTATGTCATGTCCATTATTTGTTTGTTGAAAATGGAAGAATACTTGCATTAAGTACAAATATATAGCTAAACGCATATCTATAAGTAATAGACATAGATATTTCTGTGCATGTGAAGTGATTATTTCATCTGAATTAAAAGTTTGAAAGGATTGTTTTTAAAAAAAGAAAAATGTTCCCCTAAGGTAAGGAGTATATGACATAGAAATTTAGATCAAAAAGTAATTTTCTTGTTCTTGTCTAAGCCGGGCTGGAAAATTTCAATCCAACGGTTGAAAGATATTTCTACATACCCACACTGTAGGGGATGGTCCCCCACCTCTCCCTTGCATTACACACTATAAGTTTAAACAAACGGTATTTAGCATTTGTACACTTTGCACATGACCTCACCCGTTTAAAACTATGTTTGACGTCATATTTCATTATTTCTTTGACACCAAAGTAATGATTTGTGTGCTGTTTGTTGTCTCCAATGGATGACAGAAAAAAAACATGCTCAATGGATGGACAGAGTAAACTTGAACACGTAAAATTGGAGATGGTTCTTAAAATGAAGAAAATTCGGTCAACCCTAGTTTGGAACCAACTATTTGATGAAAATTGTGCTCGAGCTAAAAGAAATTGAAACTCCTTTAATCCCAAAATTACAGATACCTCCGCTCAAACAGGCCGTGAACCACAATGACCTCATCCTATCTCTCCTTGAGCGTAATAGTGTAACATGTATAGATAACGGTTACAATTATGCATTTCTGAAAACAGTCCAAGCTCTTTATTTCCTGGTAACTGGTGGTGTGTGTTACAACAATTGACATGGACATGACTTAGAATATGTTTGTAAATAAATTCTACGAAACCGGCGTATATTTAAATATATATGGAGGCAATATTTTGTATACATCATATCATAGAAACTTAAAATACATTTGTGCGCAGTTAAATGAAAAACAAAGGCCAACTTTTTCCAATCATTATGCATGCTGTGCCTTGGAAATCACGTATCCTTATTGATTTTTACGTTATATGAAAAATGTATTATAAATATAAGAATAACAATTGTGCCAATACATATAAGTGTAATGGTTGTATGGGGATGTAAAGTCCCTCTTGCCTTTGCATGTGTATGGTAATGCATCATTAAATTGTTGTATGTGGGAATAGTTATTCTCTGTCGTTATTGTATTTGCCTGTTGTTGCTTGTAGATATGAATGCATATTTTTAGTATGTACACTAAATGTTTATTGTTTGCTGTTGTTGCTATATTGGAATGTGTATTGTAAGATGCTGTCTATAATCAAAGGGAATGTATATTGTAAGATATTGTTGATATTCAAAGGCAATGCATATTCTCTTGTTGTTTCTCTGTTTATGGCATTGTAGTGTCTTACAATTGTTGTGTGTTTGAATATGGTAATGTGAAGTGAAGTGTCTGTTGTTCTTTGTCTGCATTTAAGTATTTATAATGTCTGTTTTGTCTGTCAGTAAGTAGTAATAATCATCCATGTACATGTATGTCAGATTGCAGAGAGCTTGAATAAGCACGTGCCTTATTACAGTTAATTAATAAATATAAAATATATTTTAAAGGATAAACAGGGGGATAGTACATTCTTTTGTTAAATGTAAGAAAGATGTTTGTAAGATTTCATGGTTTACCTGACCATATATGGGGAATATGGAAGTTAAAACCTTTGCAAAAATCTAGAAATCTAATGGACTCAACTTGTAAAATATATCATGTTGTGTATATGTATTATTTGGAGGATTTAGATGTGGTAAATAATATTTCAGAGATACAAGGCTGAAAGTGCAACAAGGAAGTAAGGCAGAGTCTTATCAGTAACAACCGATAAGTGCACTACTGGTGTTGTGCATGTAGGCCATGAAAGAATGGGTGTAAATCAATCAAAACTGCGCATTCCTTAGTCTCCAATGTATCGGGTATAGATTTTTGTTCAGTTCAATACAATGCAAACTGCATGCTGTGAGAACGTATCTACAGATACATTTGTAAGGCTTTAGATTCACCTTGCATATGTGAGGGTACACAGAAGGGTAATCATAACGAAACAAAGCTGTTTTTGAGACCATTATATCCTACTATATATTTGCCTGTGACTGTTATACCCTACTATATATTTGTTTGTGACCCTCATACCCCATTATGTATTTGTGTTTAACTGTTATACCCTTTTATGTATCTATTTGTGACCCCTCATACCCCATTATGTATTTGTGTTTGACATGTATACTCTATAACATGTATATGTTTGTGACTTTTATAATCTATTTTATATTTTTATATTTGTCTGTGATTGTTATACTCTGCTATACATAATATGTACATTTTTTTTTATAATAAAATATACATATCAAAAACACACATATTGAAATCAATAATGGCATTGTCAATTCATATCACTTTATTGGCTGTTAATGATTCAACAGTACAAATGTTTTAACATATATACACACTTAACATAGTATAGGCTGGCGTGACAAGTCGATTCCGTTTCAACTATTTATGACTAGCACCATTTAAATAATTGAAAAGGAACATAAAATTGAACAACTGATATATTACATATATGTATATACTTAACAAATAAACAATTAAAATTAACAACAGCTTTATATAAATTATTGGGACATACAAAGTTATACAAACAGTTCATATCACACACAAAGAAAAAAAATCAAAATGCAACTCACTATTCATATAATTATCTAACCTTTCATGATCAATGGGTTAATAATTAAACAAGCATCTTTGATCTGTTATTCAGAATATATATATACATAATGCTTCCAATTTGTTCTAAATATCAAGAAAACTTAATATAAAGAATCTTCTCTTCCTTGTAGCAGTCAAGCTCGCATGAAAAAGGGTGCATAGGAAAGCAACTTCAAACAGAACTAATTTGTTTTTTTCGATGTCCCCTAAACAGATGGCGATACTATTAACAGAGACCCCGCATTGGACGTCTCATGTGCTAAAATGCAGTGGGATACAGAAGGTTTATATTTCCCTAAACCTGTACGGAATAGTCACGGTACTAGTGCGTTTTGGTCAATTAACGAAATATAACATGTATTGATTAAACGTGTAATGATGTTACTCACCGAGTCCCATGTAAAACCTAAATCACACAGATATTAATGTGTTCAAACACAGGAACAGCGTAGCCCCCGCACAGCCTAGGTGATGGGTATTGTGATGTGTACTGAGATAATCTCATATTGAATTTTCACAATTCTATTATACCATATCTAGTAATAAAAAAACCATGATATATATGCTTAAGAATACCAAGTCATTGGGAAATCATCCTAATTCAGCATGGCAATTCAACATACTTAAAGGATTAAGGTTTTTTTTACAGTCTGAACAACTCTGAACACTTTTCTATGTTTGCAAGCAAATGTAGATGCATTTACACATATCAATGTATATGATATACCATTGTGGTTCTTGATAGAAATTCCAATAGCAAGGGAGATAACTGTTATAAAATGAACCTTCTATTTTTCCATGACATACCCCTGGAGTATCGAGTATGGTGTTTCTGCTTATAGTCGTGTGCATGTATACACACAAGGAAATGTAACACTGGTTTCCTTCCTGCTGGTTAAGTAACAATGTAAATCATAAGTAACCAAACGGTCTTTACATCGATCAGAGTCATCCACTTGTCTACTTTCGTTTTATTGAAGCTTTTATAGAGAAGAAGGACGTGAATTATATGTGAAAATAATTATTTGCATCATCATTCAAGTATACAGAATTGCGAACAAAATAGACGTTTGGGAAGGAAAGTAAGTACAGTCCTTTACAAACTCAAATTTTATTGGGATAACATGCATGGTAAAAGTGAATGTCTTTTGTACATACATCTGTACAAATATGGTATCATTCTCTCACAATAACAACCTCCGTCCTTCAACACACAGGGAAATAACATCTCGTCTGGAACAGTCCACAGATTAATCAACATGACAAAGTTCGTTCACAGTGATATATGTAGATTTCTCGTGAATGAAAAGGGAAGAAAGTTAATCAAATTTTCAAGTTTCCATTCCTTTAAGAACGTGGCCGTGGGGCGGATCTGAAGTTGTGACAGGTGGTGGGAGAAGGGGTTGTGATTGGGCATGGGGTTAAAAGGGTGATGGTATCAAACAAGTTAAACGTGAAAAGCGGGTACAGGGATCCATCACCCACACCCACCCCAACCCCCCATGCTTTCCACCTTTATGCGATTTATTTACATCAGTTTTGCTTCCTCGTGATTTTTAAGAGCAGTAGGACCGAACTTTGGGTAATCCTTGGACTTATGTTCAGTTGCTTCTTCTTCGGTAACTTGAACAGGGTGTGGATCGATAGGAGTTTCTAGTAGCACTACTTCGGCCTCGTCATCATGGTTGTCTGTGTTCTCAGGTATAGTTTCATTGGTTCCGTTTTGGTCAACGAAACATGGTAAAAGAGGTTTAATCCGAATTAAATACTTCCGAAACAACGCTCCTACAAGAACTCCAATCCCTATGGTGACCAGAAGTGAGACCGCTATCACTGCAATAAGCAACGGAGGCATTTGATATGCTTCCGGCTCTGTAAATAAAAACAAATTAAGATCATAGTACATGTGTAAAATATAAAGGGGTGAGTTGCTTTATTTTCCGCTATAGTTACAATTTAAAAACCAATCATTTTAAAAGGATAAAAAATCGAAGTCACTTAATTGAACGCTATAACAACTTTTAAGTAGCTTGGAGGTATAAACCTTATTATCGACCCATCCATTATCATTTGTTACTGTAGCGAATAACAGAATTCTTTCACTCTTCCGTGTGTGTTTTAAGTTGATAAAATCACTACCGAGATAAATGTTTGGTTTGAAAACACTGGTCTAGATCGTGTTTCTAAATTAGTGTCGTACGATAAAACAAAATCGAACTCGTGTTAATTTAATTTGAGGTGCTGTTATAAAGATCGTAACAGTCATCATCACAATTAATATCATTGTTTTGATAATCGTTTCACCAACATTATACATTGACCTGCCTCTGTTTTGCAACGTTCCATAGATAAGCTTACATTTCCTTTAACGGTGGGTAGTTTCCACAGATTTTCTCAGTATTTCATTATATAATAATTCTGGTTATTTTTTTCATAATCAGATAACTGTTAAACTTTCTATAAATATCGCAGTGAATAAAAACTTCAAATATATCGCAGGAAAAGCAATAAATAGCCGTTTCAGACTTTGGCGCATAATACATTTCATGTAGCTGCATTCAGTGGAACCATATTCTTATAGATCATTCTATTAACGAAGAGGGTCAAATTTATAGCTTGGAATATATATTTTTATTGTCTGTACACGTTAAGGTAAGCTAAAAGCTGAGATGAAACCCCTGAATTTAAAAAATAGACCATTCATATACCAAACTAAGAATCAGTTTGCTAGGCCTATTGGTTAGCTTTAGATACCGTCTGTCAGGATCGGATTTAAAGCGTATCGAATATGCATCATACCATACTAATATCATATGTTTAGAATGATGAATATTCATTTAAAGCATTACAAAAGAAATATATGTCAACAACGGTTATTTATGTATATAAATAACCAGCGGGAGATTAAAGCATGATTTAAAGTGAATTGAGATAAATTGCTGCATGATAATCATTCGGAACTAAATGTATATATATATATATATAGGTTTGAAATATCGTCTTGTGAAGGAAAGTAGGACTACATTATGAATATTGAAGTATCTATAGGAAAAACTTTTTAATGGACTTTATGTTCTCAACATATTTTTTTATTGTAAAACTAATCATTTTCCTAATGGCACGACCTATAATTTAAGATTTAATCCGACTTAAGTCTTCAGCTGATTTTTATAAGCAACTTTTGGTTTTGAATTCCCAATGACGTGTGCATATCACGTGCTAAAGAGACCAATGAAATAACGTGTCACTAAAAATAACCAAGGAAGTAATACACTGCGGATGTAAAAGTTTTAACAATTTTTTTGTAATTTCCTCAAAATTATCGATAATAGTCAGAGTGTCGGTGAGCTCAATTACTTTACCATTACGACTATGTCACAGGCACGTGTTTACGGTCCTATGTTATTGTGTGAGAATATGTGTTTCAGTCATTATAGGATAATGGTTGCGACCTTACTGTATTTGTATAGTTTGTGTGATTTGAAAGATGTTGCCGGAGTCCGTATCCACACTTGGAGGTACTATTAAACGCCTAAGTCACCGAAGTTTGTCTCGATCATGGACTAAAAACGAGTATACGTCCTGTATAACGCCGACGAACAAAAAGGTAGTTTCGATATTCTGATCTATAAATAGAACACTTTAAACAAGGATACTATATACTATTTGTAGTAGGGTTTTTTCACGTGGTGCAACGTATTAGCAGTAGTCTTACACAATTTCGGGAGTTTGTTTAGAGGGAGGGTAAATCATTTTTAACACTCATGCATAACATTTTTTTCAGCATTTTCATGCGCTTTTTAACACAATATCATTTTTCGAAACATTCAACTATTATTTTGGACTTACGGTTTGGGGGTCTGTTTTTCAGTTCCAAGGCTAAAAAATAATAATGAAAAAAATTAGTTGTGCCCAAGCTGATGCTAATAAGGTAATGATGATAATATTCGATCGATACATATGTTCCTAAGTGTCTCACACTCATCATAAAATACGGTATTAACCACATGTAGTAGAATAAATTCCCCTGGAGCTAAAATCTAATGCACAAAGGCCTTTGATTGCCATCAACGTTAAACAAAATTAAACAAAACAAAACCTTTGATTGTCATGAAATAAGTTGAAATCACAAAAGAAAAGGGGAAAAGAGTCATTGTCACTCTTACCTCGACAATAATCCGTACAGTTGTATATGTGATCTGATGTGAAACATAATTTTTTCCATGCAGTTGCAGAACAGCTAATACAGAATCGTGAGAGATGGTCACAGAACTCTTCACCTGCCTGACAAGTAGCGCCAAAGCATGAAATACCATCTGTAAAATAAACAGCCCGTTAAACGGTAACAATCAAATCAATAGTTTGAAAAAGTTTAAACAATAAGCATTGAATTTAAAATGTTAAAAAAGGTTGGTAATGAGAGATAAATACAACATACGCATTGTACCTGTAGACATGCTTTACACGTAAATTTCAGGTGATTCCCCTCTTAACTCCAGGGTAATATCATTAGCTGTTCATCTGTCTATTTATGGAGGTCAATAATACGAACGCTATCGACAAATACTTAACCAAATAAAAGACATTTAAAAATGAACGGATACAATTTGTATATACTCGTAAAAAACAATGTTAACTTTTAAGATACATATAACAAAAGATATCATTACCCGAGACGGTGTTCATTCTGAATAATATCTTGATATTTCTGAATCTATAAATAGAACTAATCAGGAACTGCAGGGTATTTCCGCTACATGTGTAGCTATACTACATGTGAAAATGTCTTTCGTCGATCAGATTAGGTGGTTCAAAACTTTTGCAAAAATTAATAATGTATATACAATGTATCATTAAAAAAAAAAGATCATTCTTCTCTTTATTGTAAATGATATAATTTAGATAACGATTGACCGTTAGGGTTAACGTTTCTCTAAGCGAACCAGACTTTAACAATTGTTAAACAAGACATGTATGCTTTTATGCATTTGGCATAGTGAGTCTTACTGAAAAGTCACCACCTAGTTTCCTCCTTAATTTCATCCTTTAGGCCAAGTGGTTGATAGAATGCAAATCATAGTTCATTATAAGAACTTCCATATTTTATCTAAACAGCTTTAAAAAGTCTTAATCACCATAAATAAGAGTAAAGAACTTCTGTAGAATACTAAACAGGAAACTACATAACTCATTAAACACTTTTTGTTTACGTTATATTGCATACTATAACTTGGTTTAAGGTTAAGATGCATTGTACATCTATGTACATAGATAATAAAACAGTTTGAAGAGTCACTGTTAAAGTGATATAGCCAGTACTGGCTTCCCGAGGAAATGTATATTTCTGGTAACGTAATTCTTCATTTGCCTCACAAGTAAAAGAAGTCAAAAGAAACAAAAATCGCATTTACATATATTCAAAACTTCTACAATAATGAACAGTGCATTTTAAAAGCTGAAAAGGCTTTGTAACAAATATATTATACAACCTTACCTGGAAACATTGCTGTACTTTTCTGGTGATTTCCCTTCCCTTCCCGACGTCTAGTACATAAATCACGTGGTTTCGATTCAGACCGTAATTGACGAAAACGTAACCAAATAAATGCATTGCAAAAAGTATATATGTAATTTTACTTTGATTAACATGTAGGAATAAAATATAATCATATAGCATATATTACAATGAGACACCATTACCTGTGCTGGTGTCAAAATGGATTATTATATTTATTTATTTTTTTTTAGAAATTACGGGGTATTTCCTGAATGTATTTATATAACAACTCTAGTTGAGTGTGGATAACGTCTTATGTAAGTCACATGAGGTTGTTGAAAACTTAAAAGTGTTAAACAATATATAGCTTAAATGATTAAAATCAATTTTGAGAGAAATCTAATTAATGAAACCATAATTAGCGTTAAATGTGTCGCTAAGCTAACCATACATTGACGATTGGGTGCTGACTGTCAAACCAAATCTGTTCGAGTTGCTTCCCTTCGCCTAATAGATGATTGCAAGTTTATTGGAGGAAAGTAGAAATGTAGGACATCCATCACTAAAATAGATGTGTAATGAATTTGGAAACTGTCACGACTTCACCACCTTGTTTCAGTTACCTCCTTGCACATGTATCCCTTACCATCAATAGGTTATTACTAGAACGTACAAGTTCCAATTAAACAACTTCATAATCTCTTAATCACCATAAACAACAATTATAAACAACTCATAATCTCTTAATCACCATAAACAACAATTATAAACATCTCATAATCTCTTAATCACCATAAACAACAATTATAAACAACTTCAAAATCTCTCAATCATCATAAACAACAATTATAAACAACTTCATAATCTCTTAATCACCTTAAACAACAATTATAAACAACTTCAAAATCTCTCAATCACCATAATCAACAATTATAAACAACTTCATAATCTCTTAATCACCATAAACAACAATTATAAACACCTTCAAAATATCTTAATCACCATGAACAAGAATTATAAACAACTCATAATCTCTTAATCACCATAAACAACAATTATAACCAACTTCAAAATCTCTCAATCACCATAAACAACAATTATAAACAACTTCAAAATCTCTCAATCATCATAAACAACAACTATAAACAACTTCATAATCTCTTAATCACCATAGACAACAATTATAAACAACTTCATAATCTCTTAATCACCATAGACAACAATTATAAACAACTTCATAATCTCTTAATCACCATAAACAACAATTATAACCAACTTCAAAATCTCTCAATCACCATAAACAACAATTATAAACAACTTCAAAATCTCTCAATCACCATAAACAACAATTATAAACAACTTCATAATCTCTTAATCACCATAGACAACAATTATAAACAACTTCATAATCTCTTAATCACCTTAAACAACAATTATAAACAACTTCAAAATCTCTCAATCACCATAAACAACAATTATAAACAACTTCATAATCTCTTAATCACCATAAACAACAGTTATAAACAACTTCATACACTTCGGAATAAGAACCTCCTAAACTCTTAATCACCATGAAAAAATGTTAAGATTCTCTGCAGAATATTAAATCTTCCATATCAAATAGGGGAAAAACATCATTAATGATAAATGTTTGTTTGCGTAATGTTACATAAACAATATCATGCATAACTTGATTTCAGATAAAATTATATCCATTTAAATAATAAGTATACTTGGAAAGTTCACATTATAATGTTGAAGTACTGATGTGATAAAGAAAGTTTCTGTTCTCCGAGACCATGTATATTTTTCTAATATAAAAGTCACATAATTCTTAATTCTCCATCTGCCACTCAAGTATCTAATAAAAAAACCACGTGAAATATAACCAGACCGAATAGAAACAATGAAGTCAATATACAGGTATATAAGTTACATGTAGCTTAAACCATGAACAGTACATTTGAAACATTTGAAAGGTTAAGAACAGGAATTGGAAACAGTATATACAGATGTATCTGGAGACATTGTTGTAACTTGTTGGTATTTTACCTTCCAAACTCAAGAGTGATAACAAGCTGAAATTTTAAATTAACGTGTTCAATTTTGGTAATAAATTTCATTTTTAATAGTTTGAAATAACAATTACCTTTAATGCTGACCTGACTTTGAGAATTGATCCCCTGTTGTTAAAATTGATTATTTTTTTCGAGACTCCCTCTGCCAAGAGGAAACGTGTAGGGTAGCTAAAGTTAATATATAAGGAGATTCGTGACGATAAATATAGGTGTTGTACTTCATGAGCTTGTCATAAGTTTCTTCCTCTTGATTCATCCTGTAGACCTGTAGTTGGGGTTTGTCCCGAAAGGCAACAGTTTGTTAGAGAAACTTCCATTTTTCAACTAAACCGTTTCCTAACCTCTTAACCACCATACACAACGGAAAAGAACGTTTGGGAAACATTGAATCTCGAATCAGTATTTGAAATAATGTTTTCCCAGATTTTTCTTATATTGTCACAGGTGCGATAATTGTAACACAGGACGCGGTTGTATTTGACAGCCTCCTCAGCTTAAGGCCACATTAAGGTAAAATTTAAAAGATATTTTCATGATTATTAACACTTATAAGAATGCTATACATGACGTTTGACCTAATATGACAGCTATAAGATTATACACTCTCACCAAAGAATTTTTCAAAGAATTGAATTTGAAAATATGCCAATGACTTAATGCATCACGTTCATGAAGCTTGACATATTTTACAGTGTGGTTTGGACGCCGATTGATTAATAGTATGGTGACTTTAAGCTGCGGGAACCGCAACATTATTATCAACAAAGGATATGATTTCACAGCTACTCAACCAACTAATGGATGGTCAAAGTACCTTGTGTATATCAGTGTACATGGACAGACCGTAATCAATTAGCTGACTACATGACGTTGACTGTTGGCAGTCCCGAGTTTTAGTTTCACTCTTGAAAGGTTTTAGAGAAATATGTCTCTAAACTGAACTATGAGTGATCGGGAAATCTATGAAAACAAAACGTGTTCCCTAAACAACACAGTGTTGGTTAAGATACCGCTCAGTTAACAGAGATATTAAATTACTTCTAATAAAATGAAGAAGTTAACGAAATATATTCAATATCTCTTACTTACATCGGCGATTACTGATTTCTTCTAACATTATTTCAATAAAATAAAATAAAATAAAAACATAACTGTCATAAATTTATTTTAATGATGAAAAATAAGAAATATCACATGAATATAAAATTATATAAACGCGGCACAACATGAATTACATGGCTAACTATATGTTCAAAAAACCCATAGCACTTGGTTTAGAATAGTGTATTTTATATGACAATGGAATTCTGTTTCCCTCATTGGTGATAACACAGAGTGTAGACACAAATTAATCTAGAAAAAAGAGATGTATGAAGCACGGTATTACTCGATAGAATATTTAAGTTTTTTCTCTACTAATGCCCGCATTGAAACACTTTCTTACAAACCAGAGGCGGATCCAAGCGTATGGGGAATGTTCGTCCGGTGCCTCATTATGGGAGGACCGTTTCGGTATGAAGGGCGTTTCAGACAAGTTTTGCTTTGTTTACGTTAAAATTACAATGTTTTTGATTTTTTCTTTTTCTTGACACTTCATTTACACAAAACAAATCATCATTAGAATCAACATATAATTAAATTGTTGACCCCTAATGCAGTCAGGACACTGGCCGCCTCAATACACTAAACTCGTTCTCTGAACCCACCAATACAAGCAACAAGCAACGACTGGCACCATTCAAAAGAAAACAGGTAACGATATGTATTCAAATGTATGAATCGGTGGATTAACAAAATTTCTTATTCAAACAATTTTCACATGAGAAGCCTGGCATTTGACAACATATATGATTTGGAAAAATCATGGTCAGCTATAGGCGTATCATTAATTCATCAAAAAACGAAACAAAAAAATCGAATTTTTTCTCAAAATACATCTAAGTCTGTACACCGAAAAAGAGAGTTAATAACGTTATACATTGTCTCCTAACTCGACTTTTTTTCGCTGACGCACATTAGTGTTTTAATCTTCCCCCATAAGCAAAATCGGTGTATCATGTTGAGCTGACCGTGCCGTTTTGTCTGGGTTGGATCTCCCTAGGTTTCAGCACGTGACCATCAACGTGAATGGAAAGACCTTCGTCTCCAACCTCTTTGATTGGTTTTGAGATCTGGTAGTAATCTGTGTGGCCTTGGGTGGTGCTTTCAGGTAACGTTCGGGGAGTCCGTGGGTTGGCAGGTGGTTCGTTACGGATTGGTGGTATCTCCGTAGACTGGCATAGGCTTGGAAACGATCGCGATTCTTGTCCGCTCAAAAGTGACGTGACAGAAAGTCTGTCCGCGAAAAGAGACGCATCTGCTTGACTATTGTTCTTTGCCCTGGGGTTTTTATGATACGTTAGGCGGTCCTTTTGTTTAACAAACGTTTGGTCATTGTGTCTTCTGTTAAAGACGTTCAATATACGGCAAATGTTTTTCCTGATAACCATGGTAGGTTTATTAGGTCCGATTTTTCTGTAGAAACATATTAAGATGATGAGAAAGGCAAAAAACAGAGGGACAACAGCAGCCAACACGTACAAGGATGTGAAGTCAGGTTCTATGGATAGCTCCACAGCGGGTGCCACTAAAAATATACAATAATGAAAAATAAGATAATTTTATCAACTTTGCATTTGCCCTCGCTGCTAAAATATATGATGACGAAATATATATTTGGATATCTCGAATTCGAGACCCAATGGTTTCATTCTCGATATATAGGAATCCACGTCATTCCATAAAGTAATTGTCGCATCAAACATCAACTATTCAAACTGGCGGGGATAGGTGTGAGTAACACACTTGGATTATGGTATGGTTTAATGTATGTCAATCGATTTGTATTACTGAAATTAGCGATTTTGTTATATTAACAACTTACCCATGGTAGTCCCAGGTGACTGTGTGATTACATCGCCCATCATTTCTGTAACAAGAAGCATAGACTAATACAAGGGAGACAATTCAAATTAATAATCGGTACAAGAAAAATGTAATATCTCAGACCATTAAAGTTATGGACAACAAAAGGAGCTGAATTTGTCCTATGATGAATTTTTATGTCAATTTTTCCAATTAATACAAATCAAAACGGTTATAGGATTAAAAAAAAAAACAACGAAAATTACAATAACTTAATTAAATCGTATTTTTCAGTTGAAATAAAACGGATACCACACAGACAGATTGATATTCCACACCACTTTTGCCATACTGATGTTAATACTAGGTGGTCATACCTTTACAGACACGTGTACACCGCGGTTTATGTTTTTCCGTAAAACATGTATGAAGCCACTGGGCGCATTTGAAACAAAACCTCGACGGATGATCGCAGAAGGAATCTGCCCTGCACACGTCTCCGTAGCATGATTCGTTTCCTGGGGAAAAAACGTAATTTTTTAAGATAAAACATGTATGCGTCAAGTCAAGTAAAAAATCTTAATGTGATCAATACATACTGTACATTTTTATTTATGTCTGCGTGTACTTTCAATTCATATTTTTCATCGTTGATCCTGTAGATATCTATATTTCGTTGATCTTATAGCTATCTATATTTTAAGTTCACTTTATACTGAAACTTATCTCTAGCAAAATCAAATTTTCATATTCTAATGGTACATCTATTACATGGTCACGAATCAAGTTGCTAGTGCTGTACGGAAAATCCATGTTTGAATAATCAATTAAACTATTTGGAAATAGTGATGGTTAAGACAGGTATTCGATCAATGAGTTTACTTTCTTTCTTTTTTAATTCGGTAAAATATTAATGAAAATTATAATTATATGACATCGCAGGGAATATGCGTTTTCTCAATTCAAAATGTATATGTAAGCCCGTAATTAATCAGTCTCAGATGTTTCCCATTTGAAAGCTTTTACCATCTACATTTGTATTATTTTCTTATCGATCTCTATAAGATAATATAACCTAATATGAATGAATATGAAGGTTACAATGAAGGTTTCGATCAAACGTACCTGAAATGGCCATGTTTCTGGAGCTGCTCTGAGACATCTAGGGATTGGAGAAAAATCCCCGCTGCAAACCGGGGCCATTTTTAGGGGATACAAAGACACGCTTGCAATACCAAAACTTACTCTATATTTGATATCAAAAACAAGCAACATATGTTTACTTTATCATGCAAAACAGTCTTTTAGTTGTAAAATCAACATTTCATATTTTAAAAACAATTTTAATGGGACACGTTACAATAATTACCCCGAAAGGTCTTCTCGGGGATTCCCCTACTTCTCCAATGTACATATACTAAGTATTCTAATGTATCACCATCAATATTTAACGATACATTGTAAGTTTATTATTTCATTGACGTAAACATATATGTCTTTTCAAAGTAACGTCATTATTCAAGATGATTTCATAGACGTAACTGACCACACAAGGGATAATAATTTGGCGCGATTTTCGGAACCTCTCTATATGTACTTTCTACTTGGGTATAGTTTTCACAGCCACGTGATTTACCCGCATGTGTGACGGTCTGTGAGTCGATAAGGGAATAACTGAAGATGGAATTTATATTTTTACGAAATACGAAGACCGTTGACCAGAAATTAAACGTTAAATCCAGAGATCAGACATAGCCCTACTTCGTGACCCAGTTAATCACCCGGACAGAAGGTAACATAATACATGTATGACACGCACATGACTTTGTTTACATATGTTTACATGTGACAGCGACTTGTAATGTGACAGCCAGGGTGCGACATACACGTATGTATAATATTGTTCAGATATATGCCATACGCTGTAATTTACTAAATAAATTAGCTATGTCCACAGTATGAATTTAGCTAGTTACAATATAATATAAATACCATTTTAGTACATGTACGTACCGTGATGAGATTCTGTACTTGCCATATTCAGAGGTAGACTTTGATTACAGAAGGACAGTTTCTGGTTATTCAAAATTTACGTGATTATATTTCTAATTGTAAGTGTTATATGTATGTGATCTTTTCCAATTATACGATCATATATAGAATAATTGTATAAATTCACTAGAATTATATTTTATTTAATGAATTACTTTTAATTATACTTTTGAAATTTGTCGAATATGCATGCACACCTAACCATGCAATCCTTATTTACATAAGTAATTTATTCTTAGCAGGCTCCAGTCAACAAAACTTGATATTTGATTATATGAATTCAATAGCTGTCATAATGTATATATATATGTAAGCGGCCATAGCTTCTGACAACCTGCAGACAATTTTAATATGATGTGTGATGGTAGAGGAGGCGGAATATTAATGATGTAGTACTACATGTTTTAGAGCTGCGGTTAGATAGAATTTGAACAAGCCTTTCCTGTTTATAATTATGTATTTTAAATGTGTTAATTAACCTGGCTACAATACACCAGAGGTGGTATAATATTATGCAGATTATTGGAAGAAGCAGAAGACTTAATTCATATACATTTTGCAGTGTACACGTAGTTGTATGCTTGTTACTGTCACGGGTACCTCTGGTTCTAATTCCTTTTACCTGGGTACCTTTTAAGTAATATGCATGCAGCCCTGGGTTGGACTTCTAGAAGGCATATAGTATAAAGATTTGACCATGCAAGCTCAGATTCTAAATATTAATTTTCAAATTTTTGAAATAAAAAACAATTGTGGTTTTAGTATTCATGTTTATGTGTAAATACTGAAAGCACAATTTTATATCTACACCTTTTGATAAGTAGAATCAAACAATTTTTATATATGAAATACCAATAACCTACATAGAATATGACAGAAAATTTGAATGATTAAATTGTTTCAGGGGTTTTTAGGTCATCTCTTCATTTTGATAACATACGATAACTTAAGTATGTGTTAACTAGATTGTCATGCCTAAATCACCTTATAATCTGCCACCCCCCGCCCCAGTATAACATACATATGTAACAGGGAGCTGTTGTAATGGCTGCAGATAGATGTAAATACAAATATGTTCATTAATAAATGCAGATCATTACAGCCATGTGTTGCATTGCTATAATATGCACTGTCACAGCTAGATAGCTAGTCAGCATAACTTTATAAACATATATTAAAAACCATATGATTGCAGTGTAAATATTAATGTACTTGTGTGAATTGCAGCGATTGGGATAGGAAGGGGTTGAGGGGCCCAAGACATGTCCCTGCATTTTTGGGCCTCAGAGTCTACAAGCTGACACAAAAAATAAATAAAAAAAAATACAGTTAAAGTTTTGCCTCTGTCAACAGACTGCGTTAAAAAAAGATAACACGTACCAACATCAGAGCCTACTTTTTATGGGTCTTTGTCCAATAATTTAACTAACATATATATATATATTCATTATTACAGGTGGTAGTGCGGTACTGGTAACTATACAAATATAATTTGTCCTGCTGACCACCAACACGTAGCGCTGTGATGATGGACATCTGCAAGATGAAGCATACTCCAACCTGATCAAGCATACTCCAACCTGAGCAAGCATAATCCAACCTGAGCAAGTATACTCCAACCTGAGCAGGCATACTCCAACCTGAGCAAGTATACTCCAACCTGAGCAGGCATCCTCCAACCTGAGCAAGCATACTCAAATCTGATGAAGCATATATCAACCTGATCAAACAAACTCCAACCTGATCAAACAAACTCCAACTTGATCAAGCATACTCCAACCTGAGCAGGCATACTCCAACCCGAGCAAGCATACTCCAACCCAAGCAAGCATATTCCAACCTGAGCAAGCATACTTCAACCTGATTAAGCATACTCCAACCTGATGAAGCATATATCAACCTAAGCAGGCTGCCTCCAACCTAAGAAGGCATACTAAAACTTGACCAAGCATACTCCAACCTGAGCAGACATACTCCAACCTGAGCAGGCATACTCCAACCTGAGCAGGCCGCCTCCAACCTAAGAAGGCATACTAAAACTTGACCAAGCATACTCCAACCTGAGCAGGCATACTAAAAGCTGACCAAGCATACTCCAACCTGAGCAGGCATACATTTCGAGGCTCTCTCCTCTAACTTGATATCATTTGTCAACAGATATTTTCTATCAGGTTTGTTATCAGTTTTTAGCTCACCTGGTCCGAAGGACCAAGGTGAGCTTATGCCAATTACCGTGGCGTCCGTCGTCCATCCATCCGTCCNTCACCTGGTCCGAAGGACCAAGGTGAGCTTATGCCAATTACCGTGGCGTCCGTCGTCCATCCGTCCGTCCGTCCGTCAACAATTTCTTCTTCTTAACCACTGATTGGAATTCAACTAAATTTGACTGGCAGCATCCCTAGGTGGTGGGGATTCAAAATTGTACAAATGGTGGGGCTGACCCCCAAGGGGGCTGAGGGGCGGGGCCAAAAGGGGTCAATTTGGCTATATTGCTTTAAGCAACTTCTTCTCTGGAACTAAGAAGTGGATATCAACCATATTTGACTGGAAGCATCCCTAGGTGGTGGGGATTCAAAATTGTACAAATGATGGGGCTGACCCCCCAGGGGGCTGAGGGGCGGGGCAAAAAGGGGTCAATTTGGCTATATTGCTACAAACGACTTCTTCTGTAGAACTATGCCATGGATATCAACCATATTTGACTGGAAGCATCCCTAGGTGGTGGGGATTCAAAATTGTACAAATGGTGGGGCTGACCCCCCAGGGGGCTGAGGGGCGGGGCAAAAAGGGGTCAATTTGGCTATATTGCTACAAACGACTTCTTCTGTAGAACTATGCCATGGATATCAACCATATTTGACTGGAAGCATCCCTAGGTGGTGGGGATTCAAAATTGTACAAATGGTTGGGCTGACCCCCCAGGGGGCTGAGGGGCGGGGCAAAAAGGGGGCAATTTGGCTATATTGCTACAAACGACTTCTTCTGTAGAACTATGCCATGGATATCAACCATATTTGACTGGAAGCATCCCTAGGTGGTGGGGATTCAAAATTGTACAAATGGTTGGGCTGACCCCCCAGGGGGCTGAGGGGCGGGGCAAAAAGGGGGCAATTTGGCTATATTGCTACAAACGACTTCTTCTGTAGAACTATGCCATGGATATCAACCATATTTGACTGGAAGCATTCCTAGGTGGTGGGGATTCAAAATTGTACAAATGATCGGGCTGAAGGGCGAGGCAAAAAGGGTACAATTTGGCTATATTGCTACAAATGACTTCTTCTTTAGAACTATGCCATGGATATCAACCATATTTGACTGGAAGCATTCCTAGGTGGTGGGGATTCAAAATTGTACAAATGGTTGGGCTGACCCCCCAGGGGGCTGAGGGACGGGGCCAAAAGGAGTCAATTTAGCTATATTGCTTTAAGCGACTTCTTCTCTGAAAATAAGAAGTCGATGTCAACCATATTTAATTGAAAGCATCCCTAGGTGTCAGGGATTCAAAATTGTACAAATGATGGAGCTGACCCCCCAGGGGGCTGAGAGGCGGGGCAAAAAGGGGTCAATTTGGCTATATTGCTTTAAGCGACTTCTTCTCTGGAACTAAGAAGTGGATATCAACCATATTTGACTGGAAGCATCCCTAGGTGGTGGGGATTCA